ATGGTCGAGCATTGTGCATATAAAGTTTGCAAAAACCCAATTAACAATGACGAAGAAGATGAGATGCAAACACTTACCAAATGAAGGAATTACACAATATACCACCTAAAATAAATTATCAATCCAATGTACTGCCAATTTCATCCCCAAATTCGACAATTCCAAAAATTTCCAATTTTTCGATTTTCTCTCCGTAAATGATTAATCAAAAGAATGAGGCTTGAGATGAATGAGGAATAAGGGAGACGACCTCTATGTGAAGCATACAAGAAAAACAAGCTGCAATGGAGGATTCAGTCGAGGGAAATGGGGATTGGGACGGCGGGAAGGGTTTGGAACTTTTTTTTTAACTCTGAAAATATTAGAAATTATAGATTGGGGCCAAAGTGTAATAAGTGAAACATTAGGGACAAAAACTAAACTTTCCCCATTTACTTTATAATCCTACTTAAGCACTAATTAAGCATGAAGGTCAATCCTACAATAATTAAAATTTAAAGGTCACTTGGCCAATTCAAGTCTGAAAGTGGGTCATATGACCAACTACCCCAAGCTAGAATGTAAAACCAAAGAAGTAGATAGATTATCACAAAAACAAAGAACTAGACTAGGAAATGATTAATATGTAATACCATAAAATTTTAAAAATTTTATGTAAAAAATTACATATATTTTTGTAATTGTTATAAATATATAATATTATGGATGTTCATTTAGTACTCCTTTGTAAATAAGCTTCCCGAAAAAGCTTATCCATATGGGACTCCGCCGTAAATATGGTTATCTATTTAGTACTCTATTTGAAATAAGCCTCCTGGAGAAGCTTATCATTTCGGTACTCCGTTATGGATAAATATTACCCCCGATAGAAAATTATCTATATCTGATACACTAGCAGCTTACAAGCAACTTACAAGCAGCTTGCAGTAGCAGCTTACAACCAGCTTACATAGCAGCTTGTAGTAGCAGCTTACAAGTAACTTACAAGCAGCTTACACAGTAACTTGCAGTAGTAGCTTACACAGCAGCTTGCAGTAGCAGCTTACACATGAGCTTGCTTTCTTCTATAATTATAGGAGATTTCAGTTCAATATATATAAGAGTTTGAAGTTGAATAATACATCAATCTCTATCTCTCTCTATACTTGTCTTTGATTTATTTAAGTTTATATTTTATAACACGTTATCAGCACGAGTCTCAGCCATTTTGAGCACTTACTTCGAATTTAATTTCTATTTAAGTGTTCATCTTCGATGTAAGCTGATGCTCTTACGTCCGTGGTTAGATCTTGCTCATTCCGAGCATCATAAGGTAGATTACATCATAATTATGTTTCATTTCCTGAAGGATGAGAACTTTGATAAATATTAATCCATTCCCTGAAGTGAATGTGACAATATTAATAAAGCTCGTAAATATGAACGCGTTTTTGATGTGAATATATTACAATTCACCTCCAGAAGAAGTAATATGATTGAGGAAATATATACCAAATATTTCGTATTTTAAATTTGCTCCTGAAGAAGTAACACAATTGAAATTTCTTTCTGAAGTAGGAAAATATTATTAAGTGGTGTTTTCTTGTGCTTAAATATTTATATTGTTTATTTGATTATGATTTCCTCTCATGATACCAGAAGTGTCTGAGCAATATTTGATAGTACAAAATGTATCAACAACTCCTGAAGAGCTACTGTTTGTCTAGAAGACACATGACACCACTAGTGTTTGATAAATATTAGATTGTGGATAATAAACGAAGGCTCTCGAAGAGCTTATATACAAATATGTCATTCATATTATATGATTATGGTCAAAACATATGTTGTAGTAAACCTGAAATTTACTAATACAAATGACTATCATATTGAGGCTACGAACGATTGGAAGATTGAAAATCTTCATGTTTCCACAATCATATGGGGGTAAAATAATATGTATGTGAGAGGTGACTCGCCTTATTCTTTAATTTGTACCATTTTATGTATCATAGTAAACCAGAAGTTTATTAATGCAAAAGAAGTAGTCACAGTAAATCAGAAGTTTTACTGAGGCAAAAGTAGCTACAGTAAATCAAAAATTCACTGATACAAAAGTAGTCACAGTAAATCAGAAGTTTACTAATGCAAAAGTTTATGACATAGTAAACCAAAAGTTTGCTAAGAGATAGCACATGCCATGATAAACTTGAAGTTTTCATTTGCCATTTTTAAATAAGCTATTTGAGAATTCAGATAAGGCTATACTGAAGAACTAGAAGATTCTTCAAGAATTCTCCTGTATTGCTTGTTCTCATAATAAATTGATTATACCGGCTAAAGTTGGGACTAAGACCCCTGATTCTGAAATATATATAAAGGGTGAATATGTGCCTATTTACCTATCATGTGAACCACTTATAGATGCATACATAAGATGGTTACATGTGTGATTATTGTCAACCTGCAGTTTGGCATTTGGAATTGCTTTTCTCAATTAAGAGCATAATTTTCAGATTATGAAATCAAGACAGTTCATCTTGATAATGTTGGTTTATATCCAAGATGGTTTAGCATTGAACACTTCCTGTTAATGTCTAAACCATTGCTTATGAGAACAAAGCTTCGTGTGTTGGTCTATGATTTTCTAAATTGCATATAGCAGCACTTGTATGCATCAGACCAATAATATATGATGAGTTCTCCCCTGACAATTGGTTTAGGATTAGAAACAAAATATTTTTACTATCTTTTGATTTGTGGTATATGATTAATTTCACTACCACAATACATAAAGATATATTTTCCGAAGAATATTGGGGATATATGTTAGTTTTTCTAACATTTGGGAGATGAAATAAACAGTTGAAAAATATGCTATATGAATCGAATTATCATTAATATGATCCTCACTTAGAAGATAATTCAAGTCAAATGCTAGAAGTATTTGGTGATCCAGAATTAAATATCATATTTTAACTGCAAATGCTCCTACTAAAATTAAAGTCCCTGAAGAATAGAGTTTACTGTATGCATGAAGCGTGGTAGACCAATCGGTTCAAAAGGTAACAATCCTTGAAAAAGAATAGGAGCAAACGATCAAAATGATCATAATAAGGAGGAAATGAGCTCCAGAAGAGCCCACGACATAACATTTCATGGAACTCCAGAAGAAGTTCAGGTACCTGAAAATAAAGAAAGTTATGAGATCTCAACAAGTTATGTCACTTAGGAACCGATACAAAATGATCGTCGGCGATATATTTGATACAAGATAGTGCAAAATATTGTAAAAGATTTTGAGGATCGGACTTGTAGTCCAGACACCTAAAGATGTCATGTCATTTAAATGTAAGTCATAACCTTTATGACTCATTTGATTAATTCTATATAAAGATCCCTGAAGGATTTAAAATGCCTGAAGCATATAGTTCAAAGTCTCGAGAAATGTACTCGATCATATTACAAAGGTCTTTGTACGGTTTAAAGCAATCTGGGCACATGTGGTATAATCGCCTCAATGAATATTTTCTGAAAGAAGGTTATACTTATTGTTTATATTGATGACATAAATCTTGTTGGAACTCCAGAAAAGCTCCAAAAGGCTATTGAATATCTTAAGAAAGAATTTAAGATGAAATATCTTGGAAAGAAAAAAGACTTTGTCTTGGTCTGCAAATTGAACATTTAGTAGACGGGATCTTTATCCATCAATCTGCCTATACAAAAAGGGTCTTTAAACGCTTTTACACGGACAAAGCGCACTCATTAAGTACACCAATGGGTGTTCGATCACTTGAAGTGAATAAGGATCCGTTCCGACCTCCAGAAGAGGATGTGGAACTCCTTGGTTCTGAAATACTCTATCTCAATGCAATTGGTGCACTTATGTATCTTGCTAATGCTAACAAAGGTGGTGCAGATCGTTTTGATTATGCAGATACATAATTAGAATGCGAAGACTCAATTATTTGAAACAAGGTTTTCTTCAGGGGAGTAAAATACGCGTTGCACTCTTTTTCCCTTACTAAGGTTTTTCCCACAGGATTTTCCTTATAAGGTTTTTAATGAGGCAGCCAGTAATGCGTATTACTAAATATGTGTACTCTTTTTCCTTCACTGGATATTTTTCCACGGGGTTTTTCCTAGTAAGGTTTTAACGAGGCACATTATCTTTTAATGAACATCCAAGGGGGAGTGTTATAAATATATAATATTATGGTGTTCATTTAGTACTCCGTTGTAAATAAGCTTCCTGAAAAAGCTTATCCATATGGGACTCCGCCGTAAATATGGTTATCTATTTAGTACTCTATTTGAAATAAGCCTCCTGGAGAAGCTTATCATTTCAGTACTCCGTTATGGATAAATATTACCCCCAATAGAAAATTATCTAGATCTGGTACAGTAACAACTTACAAGCAGCTTACACAGCAGCTTGCAATAGCAACTTACAACTAGCTTACATAGCAGCTTGTAGTAGTAGCTTACAAGTAACTCACAAGCAGCTTACACAGCAACTTGCAGTAGTAGCTTACACAGCAGCTTGCAGCAGCAGCTTACACATCAACTTGCTTTCTTCTATAAATAGAGGAGATTTTAGTTCAATATATATGAGTTTGAAGTTGAATAATACATCAATCTCTATCTCTCTCTATACTTGTCTTCGATTTATTTAAATTTTTATTTTATAACAGTAATAATATATTTTAAGTAGGTATTTCTGTTGTCGATTTAATTTAAAAAATTCAAATCCGGCAGCAGAAACTACTAAACCACTCAGCAGTCAGCAGTGTCAATCGGTCTTGCAGCCACGAATTTCGCATTAACGGCTGCTAATAACCGTTCATATTTTAAGTCTTTTAAGTGTCAAACCCACACATTTCGATAGTTATCCTTTTCTCCTTCCACTTTAATAATTTTGCCATTTACTGCTTTGAACAATAAAAATTAAACGAGAGATAGTCGAAGGGATACTGAAAAGAGTAGTGGTTGGGGGTGGGGTGCGTGGGTTGGGAGGGGGAGGGTAGACAAGAAGAATGGAAAACAAGAGAAAAAATGGAACGTTTATAAAAATCCCTAGAGACGATGATAATGGATACGAAACGATACACTTATAGGTAAAAAGGAAACCTAAAAGATTTCCAATTAGAGCTAGGGGCAAAGTAATGGGGCGTAAGAAAGTAGAAATCAAACGGATCGGAGACAAGAACAGCAGGCAAGTGACGTTCTCTAAACGGAGGAAAGGACTCCTAAAGAAAGCCAAAGAACTCTCCATTCTTTGCGATGCCGATGTCGCCGTTGTTGTATTCTCCAACCGTGGCAGACTCTACGACTTCTCCAGCACTAACAGGTTCCTCATTAAATCTCTTCATATTGTTAGATCTTCCTTCTAATTAACAGTTAGTGTTCCTATTTTCCGTACCTTTATGTTTTTACTTATCCAGAAGGTGCACTCCATTATTATATTCTTTATTATTATTGTTACCTCTTCAACCCTAGAAATTCGGGAAGCATGATAGCTGGTGAATCTCTAGGATGACACCTAGCCATATATACTGACACAAAACAAGCACGCTTGTACATTAATTTGCATTAGGGTTACAGTCAGTCTTGTGCTGTTATTATCTGAGTTTTCCTTTCCAATGAATAGTAAAGAGTGTCTTTTTGCATGTGATTATAGCGGCGCTCAGAGAATTATGACGTGAATATCAGGAACCCCGCCTTCTTGAACATTCTTTTACAGGAATTTTAGTCGGGGATATTCTGATATTTTTCGTCTGTGTATGTCAAAAGATTCATAAGATTCACTTCTTGTTGCTTAAGACTTGTAAATTAAGTATTGATATGTAGAAACATTGCTGTTTGAAGAAAATTTTGGAGAAAAAAGGGGTTGGCCTGTTTTAACTACGCTAGTACGGAATAAGATTTCCATGAATGTATGGTATATATTAGCTTAAGAAAATGTTGTGCTTGTGGTATCTTTTGTGATTGATTGCTATTCCACATGAGCAACCTAATTGGTAATAGCACCTAGTGATGATTGCTATGATCATTTATAAGATATATATCTCCTGAACAGAAGCAATGTAATTGTTCTCTTTTTAGGATTTACAATTAAAAGTGAAAAATCCAAGATTGACCATTTTTTCATTTTATATATGACTTTAGATTATCAACTAATTACTCCCTCTGTTTCAATTTACATGAGGTAGTTCGACTCGACACGGAGTTTAAGAAAAAAAAAAGACTTTTGAAACTTGTGATCTTAAAAGTTTAAGGGGTAAAAAGCTTTGTGGGGTCATCACATTTATGTGGTTATAAAAGCTTCTCATTAAAGGTACAATGGGTAAAATGAAGAGTTTAAAGTTGAATTATTTTCAAATTTAGAAATGTGCCATTTATTTTGGAACGGACTAAAAAGGAAAGTAACTCATCTAATTTGAAACGGAGGGAGTACTTTTTATCATCCCTATTAGGGCTTTCAATATGTATGCTACTTGTGTTTGTTTTTTAACAGGATCAGTTAAGTGTATAAGTTTCAACTTGAGACTCCTCATCCAAAAGATTTCAGATTTCATATGTTGTCTGATTCTTTTCTTTAAGACGGTATGTCCGCGTTATATATGAACATTGACATTATACCTTGAGAAATTGATTTTATTTATCGAATCTCCTTCATGTGCATGGACCATGAATGTATCCTGATGTACTTTTAAGGTTTTGCATCTCTCAAGCACAAAGAAGAGAGGAAAACAAAAGCACCCCACTAAAATAAAGTATTTAACAGAACTACCGAAAATGTTCTTCAACACATGTGAGAGGAAAAGTATCTTACCCACTCGTTTCTTAATCCCACAAGATTTCACGAACCGCTAACTTCAGCTCATTTTTAGCTTTTCTATACTGCTCCATATTCTTCCTCTTCGCCTCCTTGTCTATGCTCTCTACTAGTGTCAAATATGCCACTTTCTTATCTTTTACTTTTCCTTGGACCTCTTCACTCCAGCACCTGTCCCCTTTGTGGCCGTTAGAGGAAAACCTTCAAGACCCTTAACGCCTCTCTCGCAGCTTATATAATACAGTTTGCTGTCATGGTACACATACAACTCACATCCCCATTGCTCATCCAGGCTCCCATAATCAGAAACTTCTCCTTCAACTCCTGAACTTTTTTCTTATTCAAGGCACCCCACCTGATCCTCGGTTGACCATACACAACCCTCTTTTTTCTCTTCCTCATGATTTTAAGTCCAAAAATCCGAATCTTTAAGGAGAAGAAACTTTAATCTTGATTGGATTCTTAAGACTTCTTGAATTTTTTTGTAAATTTTGGTCTTTTTGATCTTGCATCATTCTCCTAGATGAAAAAAACTCGCCCTCCAGCCTAACAACTTCCATGAATGGCGCAAGATTTGCTATAGTAAAGAACATGGACCAAATACTCACTAGGTTTTAACTTACATTTTGTTAGCTTATCGTAGAGCTTTTTCACGTTGTCAGAAAACTTAGCATTTGGTTTAACTAAATTTCAATTTTTAAGTTCTAACATTTTACCAAGCCTTCTTCGTGTAATCTTTTTATATTGACTATCAAACTTCAACTTACAATATGAAGTTATTGGTGTTAGAACTTCATGAAACTTAACTAACTCCATGTCTAGCTTTGAATTAAGCATGGAGGTCGACACTTTTCTTAGGAATGCATCAATTGCAACGGTTCTACACCAACAATCGTTTGAATGATAGCCATACATATACATTTATGACGTCAAGGCGGAGTTTTAAGAGAAAGACAGGGGTTGTTTTTTTGCTCATCTTATGGGCTTTAGGATTAATGTAATATGCTGCCTTGTTTGAAATGATAGAGTCGACAATTAAGTCAATATTGTGTTGAGCATCTCTGAAATGTGGAAAGTCAATGACGCACATGGTTGGATACTCCGATGGTTTTGTCATTAAACTTTGATGGTAAATCCTCAACTTGTAGATCCAATGCATGTTTTCTTGTGTCTTTGATAATGGACTTCGTTAGTTTTGTCCTTTTCACTCCATTGACTATTTGAATATTTATCATATTGGGCATGGTGCCTCGATACTCTCATGCCTTGGTCAGCTTTAACCTCTCTAGCCTGCCAATTTTTCTTGCTCTATGCGGTTGAATTGGTGAATATCGAAGTAGTTAACGTGGCAGTGGTACTGATATGTTATGTGGTGGTGGAGGATGTAGGCATTGTGACAAATTTGGTAGCTAATATTGAAGCACGACCTTCAACCAATTCAGTCAGATGCCTCATAGATTCCGTCAAGCTGTCTAGCTGCACTTTAAAGCCATCTAGATGCACTTTAAAGCAATCTAGATGAGCTGTAATTTCTTCATTGTCTCGTTTAAGGACTTCCATTCTTAATTTTTTAATTTTAAATTTCAGATCCCTTGAAGAGGATCCTGAACTTGCTATTTTCTTGTCTGGTGACATGATGAACAAGATAGCAAATCAAGAATTCGAACCTAAAACCTATGCTCTGATACCAAATTGATGTACTTTCAAGGTTGTGCACCTCTCAAGCGCAATGAAGAAAGAAAACAAAAGCTCCCCCACGAAAGTTATTCACAAAAACAAAAGAAAAAAAACAAAATACACAAAAAAAGTAAAATTGGGGAAACTAAGTAAATTTCTAGATAAGCTGGGTTGTGATCACTTTGTTTTGGGTGAGTTTCATGGGTTGTATTTGGGCTGCTTAATGGGTCATAATGGGCTATAAAAAATAATGGGTTAACTTAGGCTAAGCCCAAATTGACCCATGAGCTAAAATATTTTTAGCCCAACCCATTAATCTCTAGGCGGGTTAGATGGGTTTGAGCTCAAATTGCCACCCCTACATGCACTTAATGTTGAATGTGGTGATTACTTTGGCGTATCTTTATGTTTCTTGTATGTCATACACTTCTCATTGTATCGAGTATTGATGTTTTAATCCATAAGCGTTTCATGTGGTAGCACAAAATATATAAACGAGTAGCAATCATGAATAATGTGCATAACATTGCATGCTAATTTTTCAAATCCAAAGGCATTCAATGTATTCAAGATTTGCTATTTGACGTACTTTCAATTCTGACAAAACTTAAGGGGAAATTCCTTCCCGCTCTCCAATAGGGATCAGAACTGATACTAACGTGACTTGCAAACAACAATGATGCTATATAGCCATATAGGCAATGCTCGGGACCACCTCCTTTCGCTTCAGAGTCTTAGGCGCAACTCTTCTAGTTAGAGAAGAGTCCAATTGCGAACTCGTGCACTCCTATCCTATTGTTGCTTCTATCGCGATAGGGAACCGTGTGATTCTTTCTATCCCTGTACTTTCTCGCTTTTATGGAGTTGTATTCCCTAGGTTATGCATAAGGTAAAATCACTTGAGCCTTTTCGCCTTTGCTTCTTCTTTCCGGAGGTACAACATATGAATTCTAATTAATGACCATGGATGTGTCCATTGTCATAGGGGTAGTCTTTCATCGAGAAATGAAGAGAAAAAAAGGACTAGCCGACTCAAGCTCTACTCCTTTTGCTATAAATTTTTCATTTAGTAAAACCTCAATCTCAATTCCAAGAAATTTTGTATATAACATTTATCCTAAAAAGACAAGAGTTCGCACCTACTTTGAGGAGAAAGAATCTCTAACATCGATTGTCAAGATTTATTGTCAACTTGGTATATGAATATGTAAATTACGCATTGGAATACTCAGTGTTTAGAAAAGCGGTCGCTTCGTCGCTTTAAGCGCGAAGCGACGCAACGCGACCCAGTGTCGCTTCTAGCTGCCTGAGGCGACTCGATCTTTGGAAGCGCACGCTTCAATGGAAAAATCGATGAAGAGAGGAAAGCGATGAAGCGATCGCTTCTGTATAAAAAGCGCGGGGGGCCCTTTTTAAACAAAAAAAATGGGTCTGTTTTTCTATTATACAAAACAGAACCTAAATCGACAAAAAAACCCCTTCCCCTTCGACAAACAGCTTCTTCGACAAAATAGAGGTCTCAAAACAAAACCTAGGGTTCCATCCACAACCTTTCTCTCTCCCTCGAGCTCGACCCCTTCTCCCTTCTCGCTCGCGGCTCGACCAGTCCAGGACCCAGGTAATTTCTTCTTCTCCTTTCTTCTTCTGTTCTTCTCGTTTTTTTCTTTTTTCTTTCTTCTTCTTCTTCTTTCTCCAGTCCAGAATAGAGTAAGCATCCTTTTTTTTTCTTTCTTTTTCCTTCTCATTTTAGTGTATATTTCAGCGTATAAAATTAATTGTTATATGTATTTGATTTTAATATTATATTTCAGCATATAAAATTAATTATATATATA